TCGCGCCGGCCGCCGGAGCCCCGTTTACCCTCCGCCTCGGGGCAGCCGGGAGTCAGGCGCTCGACTTACACCGCGCTTTCCGGGCCTCGGGTTTCTCATTTGTAAAATGGGGTGTCCTCCCTGCCCGTCACAGGTTGTTGGTAGCATCTAACGATGCTCTTTTTAATTTTTTTGCAATCACCAACAAGTTACCGTGTAAAATCGCAGCAATCTGGTTTCCTGAGACAGTTTCAATTTTAAATGCTCTGCTCTATGATCACCCTGTGTGACTAGTTTATCATTATATTCCCGGAAACCAGTACAGTACCTGGCATACAGTAGGCACTCAAGCAATGCAAGCAAAGAGAATGGTTGCGTACTACTGTTGGCAGACACTGTGCCCTGCTGTTGGGTTTAAAATTATGGTCACAGCCTGGCCCATGCGGCCTAGTGGCTGAGCATGACCCATGAACCAGAAGGTCGGGGTTCAGTTCACGGCGGGGCACAGGCCGGTTGCGGCTCAATCCCCAGTAGGGGGCGTGCAGGAGGCAGCTTATCAATGACTCATCATTGATGTTTCTCCCTCTCCCTCTCTCTGAAATCAAGTAAAAATAAATAAATGAAATTATGGTCACTGACTATATTTAGAATAGACATAAACAAGCATTTTTTTGACCACACAGAAGTTTACAATTATTTAATCTGTCGAACAACAATATTTATAGTTAAAAACAAGCTTGTGAAAAGTACTTGGCAGCATATATGATAGATTAGTTTAAAGATTTCTTTCAATTTTTCAATTGCAGTTGACATACAATATTATATTACTTTCTGGTATACCACATAGTGATAAGACATTGATGTAACTTATGAAGTAATCACCCTATAAGTCTAGTGTGGGGTAGAGTGCTCTTAAAGTGTTTTAGCAATGTATGATAGTATTGCCATTTTTAGGCAGTAGGCCACTGTAGTTAGGAGGCTGGCTCAGGAGCCAGACTGCCTAAGTTTGAATTCTGGTTCTTCCCCTTGCTGGGAAAGAAATTTTGAGAAGTTGGAAAATGGTGAGACATGATATACAGTCCAGAAATCAAGGGAATGTCTGTTAAAAAAGTATGTATATCTTTACATCACATCATATTGTATATCTTTACATATCTTTACATACCATGATTTTAATAGTCTTTCATAGGAATACTTTGTAGTTAGTCATTTGGTGCACACTTATACCTTATGTACCTTGAAGGTGGGGCACATATTGTATACTTCTCTGAACCCCCCATTTTGTTGTGCAAAAAAGCAAGACAGAATGAATGGGTAAATGCATGCTCTTAAAAATCAAATATACTGTATTTGGGTACCACTTTAAAATAAGACTATATTAAGAAAAGAGAAACTAGCATGGTAATTGGAAATTACTTGATGAATGCCTCACTGAACAGAGGCTCAGCGGAGATAACTGCTTCCTAGTCGGGAAAGCTATGTGTTCTGTATGGCTCTAAGGAGAGCACTAGCATCCTGGACGGAAGTGACACAAAGGCAGATTTCTACACAACATCGAGAACTTGCTTTTGTTCCAACTACCTGAAGCCTGAAGAGGTTGCCTTGGGGATGGGGAGTAAGTTGGTGAATTTCAACACCTAATAGAAATCCTGTTAAGGAATTTTTCAAAAGAGGAAGAAGGAAGATAATCTGTAAACCACTAAGATTGCAGGTTTGATCCCAGGGCACATAAAAGAATCAACCAGTGAATGCATAAATAAGTGGAACAACAAATCGATGTCTCTTTCTCACTCTCTCAAATCAATAAAAAAAATAAAATATCTTAAAAAAATAAAATAAGATGCTTCTTTCAGTGTATTTTTATGTAATACACTTAATGCAGAAATACATATTAAAGCTTATTAAAGTTCTCTGCTTTAGAACTTTGTATTGCAGCTGTAATTAAAGAATGTTGGCGTGTTACACTGTCACTGAAGAGCCAAACCTTAGATGCAGAAACAGATGTGTTGTGTGCAGTCCTTTACAGCAATCACAACAGAATGGGCCGCCACAAGCCCCATTTGGCTCTTAAACAGGTAAGGAGGAAGCCCTGTGTTTGAGACTCAACAGGTTTACTTGATGAAGATGGAGATTACACTACTACTTAATATGTAGTTGTTTATGGAAACTGAGTAAATTACTTGTGACTTATAAGAACTTTCTTTCCCAGTCTTGTTTCTAGGGGGTAATTTTCATAAGTTTTCATTAGACACAATCTATTATAAATTACAGTGCCTTTGCCTAGTTCAAAGTACAGTGATTTGATCAAGACGAAGTGTTGAATTAAAAAATAACTTCCTGGGCATAATCAAAATCATAAAATCATAAAAAGAACAAAGTTGTAGTTTATCTATTGTGGGTTATATAATCTAATTGGTAGTATATTAGAGTAAATGGGTATATAACAAATTGTGTGAAGTGTTTCATGTAGTTTTTAGAGTTTAAGACAAAACTGGGCCCTCCAGTTTAGGGACTGCACCAAAGAATGGAGCCTCCTAAGCTGAGTTCTTCATATTCTCACTCATTGATTCACTTTATTATTTCTGCAAGTATTTTTTGTAACTTTCTATGTGTCAGACACTATGCTTGGTACTTGGCATACAGGGAAGAAAAAGACACAGTCTCTAAACTTGCTGACTCATGTTCTCTGGTTAATTTTCTACTCCCATTATTTAAGGTAAAAAAGATAAAGATTTGTCCATCAGAGAAAGATGAGGGATCATGATCTTAAGTTTTTGTGACGGGGCAGCTTTTATCTCCTTCTGAGTCTTTAATTCCAAAACCAGACTTCGAATGAACAAATTTCTCCTCCTGGATTCCACGTTGTAAATAATTATCCAGTCAGAAAAATGTCCTGTTCCACTTTCTTTGCTGCTTCCTTTTCTGTAGCTCTGCCACCTAGTCAGTTGATCAGTCAAAACTGTCTCTGCACCTAATCCCTTCTTTTAGTTCTGGCTGCATCTTTTTTTAACCTTGTGGACTTTTAGTTGTCTTGCTATCCTAACTGATCTTTCCTCCATTCTGGCATATTCTATAAAGCAAAGTCAGATTAATCATCCTAAAACAAGGCTTTGTTTTTTTTTTAGTCCTCACTAAGGATAATTTTTTCATTGCTTTTGCAGAGAGAGTGGAAGGGGGAGAGAGAAAGAAACATTGATGTGAGAGAGACACGTTGATTAGTTGCCTCTTGCACATACCCTGACCGGGACCAAGGATGGAGCCTGCAACCGAGGTATGGCACGGGCCCTTGACCGGAATTGAACCTGAGACCCTTCATTCCAATGGCTGACGCTCTAACCACTGAACCAAACCTGCTAGGGCACAGCTTTGATTTTTAATGGTTCTCTTCTGTCTCCTGAATAAAGACCAAACCTCATAGGTTGGCTTACAGGATCCTCCAAGATCTGTTCTCTTTGGTTTTCCTGGTTCAGGCTTCTCTTTTGGCTTCATCTGTTTTACACTCCAGGTAACCTGAATTCTTCATGAGTCCTCACCATGTTTGTTCTTCATCTGAGCCTTTGCTTACCTGGTCCTGTATGTTTGGAATGCCTAGTCCCTCCATCTCTGCCTGTTAAAGGCCTCCGCATCCTCCAAGTCCCATTTCAAGCCTTCCCAGCAGTAATAACTTTTTCCCAAGGGGTAACATGAGTGTTTATTATGGTAATCTCATTTTAAGTTGCATCCTTCTGATTAGTGGAGTTGAACTCCTCTTTGTATGATTCTTGGCTATTTGGGCCTCCTGTTTGTGCTTCTCTTAGGGCATTTAGCGCAGTCTGTGTTGCAGTACAGGTATTTGTGTACATGTTTTATGTTCCCTACCATCCCTTAGAGTAGAGAACATGTCTCATGCTGCTTCTGCAACTATTACTACTACTGCCTAATATCTGCCTAACATATCAGTTTACAGAGAACTTTCATCTACTTTAAGATTTATGTTTTCTACCTTCAAAAGCTAGATACCAGAATTAGCTTCACTCTAACAATGTTCCCCAGTGGAGCACAGAAAAGTCTTGATTCCTCTCTGTGTGACAGTACTTTGAGTATATAGAGACTGTTCTTATGTTCCTCCATGTTCTCTCTTCCTCGCTAAACTTCTCAAAAATCCTACCCCCCAACTTTGTTTGAATCATAGCTCACTTACTGTGTTTCCCAGGTGCTTTACCATCTTAGTTTGTCAGTACTTCTCTCAAAGGATGGTGTCCAGAATTAAAAAATGATACAGAGCTGATCCTGTGGGATTTAAGGATTGTCGCCACCATAGTTCTGAAAACTATCCTGTTAAGAGAGAATCTATAACTTTGATTGGATTTTTTGTAGTATATACATAGCTCTGGCAAGATACTATCTTTGCCAGTATCAGTGACCATCCAGGTCTTGACATCCTTCAGTCTGGATGCAGTCCCATGCAGGCTCTTTGTGTGATATTTCCTGAGGACCACAGAATTCTTGCCACATTTTGTACAATGGATATCTTTTACCCTCTTTTCAATAAAAAATGTTATTGAATGCCTACTCAATGCTTGGTACTCAGTACACTGGTGGATAAAATAGACAAAATATATTGCTCTCATGGAACTTAGTTGAGAGGAGAAAGGCAGTCAATCAAATGCCAGATGATAAGTGCTATGGAGAAAAAGAAAGCAGACAAGGGGGAGTGCTGAGGGGACTGCAATTTTAAATAAGGCATATCAATTTTTATTTTACTATTTAATTTACATATATGTGTATGTTTCTAATTTACTAATAGATTTTTAGCAACTAGAGATTGGGAAGTGTTTTATATACGGTTTTATTTCTCAGCATACCTTGCACGTAGTAGGTGTTCAGTTTACATCTGTAAGTGAATAAACTGGTCACTTTCCTCATTTCTGTGGCACTTACAGTTGAAATTTGTAGTTAATTATACCATATTGTTTTAATAGTTTTACTATTTGAAATCATGTTGCTTTAGAAAAAGTATAATTGTGAGAATAATCTTGTACTTATTTTGATCCACTTTATAGCATCACGTATAATAAATTCTTAGTTATAATCTGATTTGAGAAATTTGTTTGGCTGAATAAATGTCAGATTTTTAACCAGAAGCAATCACTTGGGTTATAGAGTTCTTTACCCTTAAATAAAAGGTATTCTGTGGTATTCAATGTACTTCCATACTTTGAAATTTTGGATTTCTTTGCTTTGCTGGTCACATCAGTAGCTTTGTTTGTATTACATACATATGAATTGCTGCTTTTCCCCTTCAGGTTGAACAGTGTTTAAAACGTTTGAAAAACATGCATTTGGAGGGTTCAGTTCAAGAGCTCTCTGAGTTGTTTTCTTCCAAGTAAGTGCTTTGTGATGGGCTTTGTGGTGAGAACTCTGTCTTGCTGTGATCTCCCTTTGGATTTTTTCTGCTTGGTGTTGGATTATAACCATATACATCAGCTGTACAAATGTTTTAATAAGGGTCACCTGGTATTTGTGGCAGTCTCCCTTTGTTGGGTTGTGGGAGGGACCCATGTGACTTGAAATCTGGGACGTGATAAGATTATGTTGAAACATCAGTGTCCATAAACTTCAGTGAGTCATTATTGAGCGAAACCACCTCAAACTGAGCTTAAAGCACCTCTGCACCTGAAAACTGCTATACAAGTGCTTCATATTTAATAGTGGAAGTTTTCTAGTTTTAATAATGAATGTACTTTTCTATTTTTGTCAAGTGAAAACCAGCCTGTAGCCACCAAAGCGTGTGTCATCCCTAGCCAACCAGTGGTGGAATTGGTGTTGATGAAGATTTTGGGAGCCTGCAAATTGTTACTTCGCTTATTAGACTGTTGTTGCAAGACATTTCTGTATCCTTCAATCAACTGACATACCTTCTCAATTGGAATTGCTTGGATAAATTTAGTAGTATTTCTGTTTGAAAGCTAGGGGGTCTGTAGGAGTTATAACGTATGGGAATTCTTAAAATTTTGCTTCTTGCCCGCCTTTTCCTGGGAATTGCCTGACACAACCATTGCCAGAGATTGCCTGTCTCGCTCTGGTATGTATTATCCTAAGGGCACCGACAGAAATTCTTAAGCTTAGAAACTAAAACTTAGACACTAAATTTAATCATGAGAGCTCTAGCAGAGTTTAAGTTTCCACGAGTTAAATAGAACATGTTTTAAGGCTTTAATTCCTCAAGAAAATTCTTTCCATTTCCAACCTCATTCTTTCATAAGTGTAACTTAGAAAATCCAAATTACTTTGGTTTTGTTTTCCAATTTTAACTTAATTCTCCAGCCTGACTGTGAAACACCTCGGTTTGCAAGAATTTATCATTTTAAACCTTGTGATGGTTGGGCTAGTGAGCAGATTATGGTATGTATGTAAACGTCTCTGAAATCCTTCATTTCTTTTTCATCCCTTTAACTCAGCCTAGGTTTCTCATTGTTTTTCATATTTGTTTTCCCATGGGATGCTGAAGTTGTGGGAGTTCTGTTTCATTTGATCAGAGTTTATGTGGGGTGGATTTGGAAGCTAAGTGTTGATGGTTATGTCAAAAGATTAGGCTTTAAATCTGAAGCCAAGAGATCACCTCAACCGTACACAATTTAAGCAAATGAATTCCGATGATTAGCAACTGCAATAATAAAAAAAATGGTTGCTGTACTCACACAGCAACTGGCCCATTTAGAATGAAAGTATTCCTGTACAGCCTGTATCACTCGATTGTTTTTGCCTTTAGATTTCTAATTTTTAATGGCATGACCTTCCTTATGTGCTCCAGATTATTTTTTGCCACCTGCAACACCACTGCTTTTTTCTTTCTCTTTTTACTAAATACCTTTACTACTTAATTAACTAGTAGAGCCATTTCTGTATCTTGCAAACAAGATCTGTGAGTAATACAGAGACCTCTCCTGTTCAAGGACTAGAATGTAACGCATCTGGAAAGAAATACTGTTGTGTTTTAAGGTATAGTTAGTTGATATAAAGAACACTGGTAGCTGCAAACCAAAGAGACTTTCTCTTGAATCTCTCAATATATATTCTGAAACTTATTTGATGGATAATTGGACTCTGAATCTGCCCATTTTGTAAAGAGACCTGTTTTGGGCCATTTTAGACAACTAGAATTATCATCTCTAATTTGAATTAAAACTAAAAGCAAACAAGCCCTGGCCCAGTAGCTCAGTTGGCTAGAGCATTCCAATTCACCAAGGTTGTGGGTTCAGTCCCTGGTCGGGGCACATACAAGAATCAAATGAATGCATAAATAAGTGGAACAACAAATTGATGTCTCTCTCTCTCCTTCCCTTCCTCCTCCTCTCTCTCTCTCAAAAACACAAATAAATAAAAATTAATTTTTAAAAACCCTAAAAACAAAAATTCTGCCTTTGGAAATTAAAAACCTTGCTTTGCTGTCTTAACCTGTATGTCTTAAATACTATTTCCAGTCAGCTTGTTTTGTATTCTGCTTATTCTTGGTCAGAGGTAACAATGTTAAAATTACCAATCATATTATTTTATAGTGTCAAACATTCATTATTCTTTCCTATAATGAAAATAACTAAGTTTTACTGATGACAACAATAAAACATGTTTAAGAAATTTTAAAAAGTAGAAAAAATGTGAAGAACCTGAAATCTACCTCAAATCTCACCACCTAGATAATACCAAACTTGGGATTTTGATGCACATCCTTTGAGACAGCTTTCTGTTTAGTACTTTATTTAGTTTTAAGTACATTTTGTACTTGGGTTTTTCTGTTAAGGCTAGACTATTCTGGTTAATTTGCAAATATGTGCTATAGAGTTTTTTTTATCTGTAGGGGCAGATTGATAGGCATTTATTTTCAGCTTTGAATTGTTGTGGTTATGTAATCTACAAATTATAATTACTGGTTAATTCATGAGCTCCTATTTCTTTCTCTAGGGTTCTCTATAAAGGTGTTTTAAAAAGGCTGGTTTCTTTATATGAGCCACTGTTTGGATTGCTTCAAGAGATCTCTAGGATTCAACCATTGCCTTACTTCAAAGATTTTACCTTTCCTTCTGATATTGTTGAATTTTTAGGACAGCCCTATCTTGAGGTCTTTGAGAAAAAAATGCCTACAGCTTTTGCAGCTAAAGGAGTAACTAAATTGCTAAATAAGCTGTTCTTAACAAAAGAGAAATCACCAGGGTGCAGTGAAGAAACTTTACTTAGGATTTCCAAAAAAGCTAATCAAATGAAGATCAATACACAGACTAATGTGGATCTTGGACAGCCAGTAAAGAATAAGAAAATCTTCAAAGGTAATAGGCTTTGATATAGCACATACTAAAAAGAAAAATGTTGAAATTACACTATAATCATGGATTGTACAGAAAGAAATATGTACCTTTTAATTTTAACACACATTATCTTTAGAGATGTATGGTAATACCTGTGTTTTCTAAGCTTGAGCATTTAAAGTTGTTTGTTTCTGTTGTTGTTTCATAGTTTTTTGCTTGCTTCCTTCACTTCTTTTGTAGTAATTTGGCAAGAAATATTGTCATGCACATAAGAATTTGTTGATTTGAAAATAGTATGCCTAAGTTATTGTATTTGATCTTTCCCTCTCCACAGAAAAGTCATCAGAATTTGATGTGAGGGCTTTCTGCAAACAGCTGAAACACAGAGCTATTCAGGTTTGGCTTATTTTAATATAGCTTATGATTTCTTCTAATTTACAGAGTAGATGCCACTTACCAAGAACAGAGATTGAATCTTACTTGTGTTTTTATCCCTGCCTCTAAGCTTAGTACCATCTTAGTTCGCAGTCTGTGCTTCTGAATGGAGGCACTCCAAGGAATTTTAGTGCATCCAGTTAATTCAGTTAATAGAATGCCTTCAGACAGATTTTAGTAAGAGGTTTGCTAAAATTTTAAAGTGACCCTAGGATCCATTGTAGGTGTGGATTGTACTGTAGCTAAGAATATGGGCCCTGCAGTCCGATAGAAATGCTTTGAGTCCTGGCTTCGGTTTGCACTAGCTGTGTGACCTTATGTAAGCTTCTTGACCTGCCCATACATATGCTTTCTAATAGTATGTACCTCATAGGGTTGAGCCAGTTTTAATGAATGTAAAGTGTTCAGCACAGAGTCAGGAGTATGGCAGGCACTTATCTGGTGTTAGATGTTATTAGCAACTTTCAGTATCATCCTCCCCCTCATCCTTTGTCATGAGGCTTCTCTTTCTTCCTGTCAGGTTCAAGCTTTAACATGATCCCTCTTAGTCAGTGTCTGTAAATTGTTTGTTCTGGACCTAGCAATAATATATATCAGTGTCACCCTCTTTTATCTGGTAACCCCTTGACTTCTGTTGCCCAAATTGAGGCATAGAAAGGACAGGAAACTTGCTCAGGCTATGGGGCAGAGCTGGGGTTTGAATGCAGGCAGCTTGGTTTCATAGTCTGTTCTTTACCATTTACACCAGTCCCCAAAATAGTTTTGTCAACTCTGTGTTAAGCACTGTGACTCTCTGTGGCCCTTGAAACTTCTGTAGTCCGTTCACCTATTCCTAGGTTTTGAAGCTGATTGGTCAGCATCCCTCTTATGCATGACTATCACTACCACATTTTTAGCAATTAGCACTAATGTACTTAGTTTGCTTTCAAGTAAGACTTCTTTAACCAATCACCAACACAAAGCATTAATAGGGTCTACTGTTATATTTTCTATCACTTTTTTATATTCTTGAGGGTGAGAAATTTGGAAGAAGGTAAGCGTTGATTGAAGGACAGAAGTAGACCTAATAGGTGGCATATTTTCACAAACTATATAAGTTGATAAAATTCATACCTGACTTGATACAGAAAGGTGGATTGAAGAGACAAAGGTACCACATCAATAGATGGTTGAATTGGAATTGGAAAGGTTACTCAGTTAAGTATTTTTTAACAGATGCTCAGCAGTCATCCCTGTCTTCACTTCTTCAGTGACATTTATAATCCATCACTGAGGAGGGTGGCTTGGGGTACAGAAATCAGTGAAGAACAAGTTGTGGGAGTCCAGTAGGACACAGGAGAAGGGCTCTTCAGTGATTTTCCCCCACTGATACGCTTTGACCAATAGTTAATCATGTGGAGTTTTATCTTATGTGTTAGAATATTTACAGTTTCCTGTGTTCAACTGAATTCAGCTGTAGAGGGGATCTGTTGCAGCACAGAGGGGAAAACATTTTTATGTTAGGAGCAGTGGATAAAAAAGTCTTTTAGGACAAAAGGAGTACAGTGAGCTAAAAAAATGTTTTTTGGTGTTTTTTTTTTAAAAAGACAATTCAGTAACAAATCATATATTTTCTCACCTTCCCATATTTCAGGAGGCGAGCTTTGAATTTAAGTATCCTCAGCCCCAACTAAAGGCAACCAAACATTCTTCTCAGAAAGTGATAGGAACTTCCTGTGCCAAAAGTTTTGTGCAAAGATTCCAAGAGGCTGAGACTTTCATACAACTTTCTGAAGAAATCCAAATGGCGATTCTGTGGTGCAGGAGCAAAAAACTCAAGGCTCAGGCTTCCTTTCTGGGCAACAAACTTCTTAAAAGTAATCGCCTTAAACATGTGGAAGCTCAAGGTTACAGGTAGGTATATTACAAAAATTACATTCCTTTTTTTGTTGTCATTTAGGGCAAAAATATATATCTAAGTCAGCTTTCTTTCAAATGGGATGTTCAGTAGCCCGAGGGGGGCTAAAAGTGAGATCCATTCAAACTGCAATTTTATTTGCTGCTTTTGTCGGACAAAGTTATATCTCTGGGAGGAGTAAAGTAAACTTGGTTAATTGGTTTTATTCATTTATGCTCTTCACCACACCACCCATTCATTCAGAAGCAATAGGAGTATCTGGGGATAGAAATGTGTGTAAGACAGACTTAATCCTCACAGAGCTCTAGCTTTAGTAGGAAAGATGGCCCGTCTGCTCACAGCTCCAGAGCAGCAGGATGAATGTGTGGGAGCAGGAGCAGAAGGTACCTGCCTTCTACAAGTGCACACACCAGACTCAGAGGTCAGTGTCAGGTAATGTTCGTTCACAGGATCTAGACTCTCTGTGTATTGATTTCTTACTTTCATAGAACGGATGGTCATCTTTGTGAACCAGTCAGTATTGCTTGAAATAATACATGAAGTTAGACACTTTAGGGTTTTATTTTAATTGAAAAAATAATAGATGCTGATCATAATAATATCAGCCACAAATGACTAAAGATCCATATATCCCCTTCACAGAGGCAGTCCTTTTGACCAGTTTTAAAAAATTATTTATGTTCTTATTGATTTCAGAGAGAACGAGGGAGAGAGAGAGATGGAAACATCAATGATGAGAGTCATTGATTGGCTGCCTCCTGCACGCCCCCAACTGGGGATTGAGCCCGCAACCCAGGCATGTGCCCTGACCGGGAACTGAACCACGATCTCCTGGATCCTTGGTCAATGCTCAACCACAGCCATGCCTGGCCGGGCTCGTCAATTTATTTTGTTTCATAGATTCCACATATAAATGAGATCATGTGATATTTTTCTCTCTGGCTGGCTTATTTCTCTTAGCATAATATTCTCCAGGTCCATCCATGCTGTCTCAAAATCTACTTCATGTCCACAGTAACTGGGATAGGCAGTATTATTCCCATTGTATAGATAAAGAAATGAAGCATTTTGTTCAGGGTGTTGGAGATTTAGAAGTCAATTCAGATCCTCTGGTTCTTCTGTTTTCATCCTGTTTCCATTTCAACTAGGAAATATACCTACCCTCTCCCCACTTAAAAATCTTAGCTTATATTAAGATAACAGTTTGGAGACAGAGATCATGAATTACTAACATTATAAAGGGCTTCCACAGAGTTCTATATTTGTTTAAAAAGGAAGAGGGGTGGGTGTTGGGGTAGGAAGTACAGACCCATGCTAATCTTTTTGAAGTCTGTCGCACAGTGAGGCAGCTAGCAAGGTACCCGATGCGCTTTGTGGCAGTGCATCCTTTTCAGAGCAAAACACCTACAGCAGTCAGCTATTTGAGTTCTGAATCCGCGTACTTGAGGAGGACAGATGGATCACAAATTGGGTAGCTCGAGGCACTCAGCTTTCTGTGCTCAAAGCCCTGTCTATTCTTATGTAAACTCCCTCTTCACTGTTATTCCTGTTTCCTTATTCAGTTCCTGCTACAACTCGGAGTTGTTTATCCAGAAATGGGCGCATGCACCCTCACAGACTTTTTCCTGTTGGAGATACACCCTTTCCCCAGTTCCACACCTATTAATTACATTATGAACAGATCAGCAATTATCAGGAGAAAGCTCTGGCACTAAAGTATGGAGGTATCTCACCGTTCAGCTACCTTGCCAGGTAGTGGCAGGAGGTGCTTTACTTTGGGAATATGACTGGGACACATTTGCCTACAACCTGAATGGGGGACATTGTGCTCTGAAAACACAGATTTGGGTTGAAGCACCTATTTCCTTATTTTTCATCATGATCTGGGGTTGTACACAGGCATGGGACTTAGATAAACTGTGTATTTTTGCTGGAAGTTGGTAAAAAGGAGATAAATTAAAAGTTTTTGGGAATGTTTTCTTTGCCATTTTAACAATCTCAGATTTTTCCTTTCTCTCTGTCCTTTAAAGTTTGCCCAAGAAACTAGAGTGTATGAAAACATCGATTTGCAACTGCCTTCTACGTGGCTCAGGTAGCAAAACTTCAAAGCATCATCCGAGACTAAGATCACAGAATAAATTTTTACTGAGACAGAGAAAACCACAGAGGAAGATGCAGTCAACGCTTTTAAAGGAAATTCAGCAGTCCCCTCAAGGGACTCAGAGTTCTACAGATACCAGTAAATGGAGATTCTCACACTGTGCAGTTCATAGAACTAACCTCTATCCTAACAGTAAGCAACTCTTGAGTAGCAGAGTTTCAAATCCTGTCATACAAACCAAGGAGAAACAAAATCATGAAAATCTTATAGGAAGCAGTGACAGTAAAGCTGATTCATGGACAGTGATGCAAATAAAAAAACATAATACACCAGGAACCATTAAGGAGACAGATGACATTGATGACATTTTTGCTTTAGTGGGAGTTTAGATGCTCACTGTGAGACTTTTTAGTGACCAGCAAACTATTCCAGTATTCTGCTGTTTTAAGTGGAACTCCTGAGATGTGGAAAGATCTGAAAGCACCACTTGGACTCAGAGATTTACTGCCATATTGTATAGCAGTTCGTTTGAATTCAATAAACATTTATAGTAGCTTTGTGTCATTTAATTAGCGGATATCTGAATGTTAATCAAATTTGACTTTGACTAAATGCCAGGTGTTAAGATGAAAAATACCATATCGTACCCTTGAAAAGCAGATGAAATTCCTTCCCTGACTGAAACTAGTAGGTCCCTGAAAAACTGGATAATTTTATGACTTACCAGGAAATTAGGGCCTGAATAATTAGGTTTGCAAAAACCTACTCGGAGCCTTAAGATAAATGGAGAGTTAGAGGTGGGGGGGGGAGGGGGAGGGGTAGCAAGGAATCACCCAAAAGGCCATTTTGGTCTTACTGGCTCTGTTATAGGTAAGTCCACTTCTGAACACCAAAGTTTGTAGCTGCTAGTGGGAGTGCTGTCTTGTTGATACATTAGAATTGACCAGCTAAGGAACTCAGAAGTTTTGCCATTAATTGTTTTATCAGGGAATGGTCACAACCATTATTTCACTTTATTCACCTTATTTCATAGAAGAGGATATTAAAACGCAGGGGGCAGTTGATCAATGATGTTTCTCATTGGTATTTCTATCCCTCTCCCCCTCTCTCTAAAAATCAATAAAAATATATTTAATAATAAAATGCTTTTGGAATTGTTTATAGGATTTTGGGGTTTATTTATTTATAGGGTACAAGTGACTGACTCCAGAAAGGATATGTAACTCATGGTTATACGTGAAATACAACAGGATAACAGTACAAGTAGGTGAGAAAGGTAAATGAAAAAGTAAAACTAGGAGACACAATAGACCCAGATATGAGGCTAAACATAAATTTATAATTTGGGACTGATGCTGTCAACTGATATTTGTATGTTGCTTGTTCAACTGTTCTAAGATGGTAACTCTAATGTATTTTCAAATGATGTAAAGTTTGAGGTAATTTTTCAAACATTCTAGCTTACTAGAAAGGTTAATAAGCTGCTCTTTGTTAAGTAGGTTGTAGCCTTAAGTTTTATGTTATATACAGACTTACAAAAAATAAATAAAACAGTGCCTTTGTATGTACTGCATCCTTCCTTTCCTCAGCCATCCTATCATTTTCTTCTATTTCCTTTCCCTTCTTTATCTGGCCTTGTTCTTTCCCTGTTCTGCTTTCTGCATGTTTTCCCCCTTATCTGTACCAGTGGTTCTCAAACTTTAGGCTGTTTGAGAATGACCTAGTGGGTTGTTTAAAAGTGCTGATTCTCAGTCTCTCCTAAGATAAACACAGCCAGGGAATGGAGCCAGAAGTTTGTGATTTAACTAGGAGCCCAGGTGATTTTGGTGCAAGGAGCCTGAAATGTAGTCAGATAAACACTGGTTTAGCTTCCTTTCCCAGAGGCTGAACACCCTGATTTAATTCAGAGTTCTTAATCGGGTTACCTTACAGTTTATTTCTCCTAGCTTCCTACCAAGTGGCAGTAGCTACTAAGTGCCTTAAAACATGGACAATACCAAGGAGATCTCATTCATGACAAGTCTAGAAATAGCCATCAGCTTCTAAGACTCTAAGACTTAAGGTCCAGTCTTCTGCTTTTATTTGCATATGACTCTACTGAGCTAGTCAGTCTCCCTGAACTTAGGTTCCTTCATCTGAAATGGCATTATTGTTCAAGAATCATAAACTTTTACAGTTAAGAGACTGGAGATGATCCCTCATTGGAAAAACCAGAGTGGTTCAGTGAGTTGTCCAAGAAGGTAAAACTATAAAGCCCTAATTGGACTGCAAGCCTAGCACTTTTTAATTTCATTAATATTCCTTTGGAGTAAGTTTCTTCACCTTCCCTTTCTCATCTTGTGCCCCTTACAATTCTGAGAAAAATCCAAAAGACTTCGTATGATGTGCCTACAAAATGATACTTTGTATATATTTACAAGGAAAGTAGTATTCTATATCAGTTAATTTTCCAGACAAATTAAAATGTTTTAAAATTTTTTAAGTGAAATCTAAAAACCATAACTTACCTAGTAAATTAGATTAGAAACTAGTTAGTGTCATCATAGTGAATGCCAATTTAATCACTTCTGGTGGCATTAGAACACTCAGGTCATTTATGAGAGAAGAGTGGTGAGACTTCCAAGTGTCTTCAAATCCTCTTGACCTTATTTCAGCCACTGCCATGATGACCAATTTGGAGTAGGACTAGACAACTGCACCTTGCCTCCTGCTCCAGGGACCTCTCACTTCCTGCCTCCTGGCTCCTGACAAGCTGCAGAAACTGCTTGGCCCTTGGACATGTACAACTCCCCCCTTCAAAGACAATTCAGAGGCACATTTCATAAGGCTTCTCAGGTCCCTCAAGATCAAGCACTAGTGCCTATGTAGTATCCAACCCAATGCATCCTTGATTAGCTTTCCTTCCTTTGGTTTCATTTCTCCATCACACTCCTTTCCTGGGATCACTTAAATAAACAACTGCACGCAAATCTTGGGCTATGCTTTTAGGAGAAACAAGGGTAAGACAAGCAGTAAAGTAACACTGGCAGGCAGAAAGATAACTTCTAAGAAAGATAATTCAGTTGTCATCATATATTTTACTTTGCAAATACCTATATAAAAATGATTTTCTTTTTTTTTTAGCCCAACACGCTGCTGGTTAGAATAGACCAGTGCTATCAACTATAAAACTGAAAATACATTCAGAATTGAATTTTCTAAAGCCCCAGAACTGTTTTACAGTCTTAATTTTTTATCTAGTGCTATTGCTATAACAATACTCAGCCTCACTTTGAGAAGCTAAGCCACTTACATGAATAGGTCAGTACCATCTTCACAAAAATCCTTTCCATTAACTCTAGTTCAAAGTAAGGCTTTATCTTTCCATTCTGAATCTTAATGTACTGTTTCTAAACAGTCCTACTGACTTTGTTCTCATCCTCTGTAAACCAGTTTAAAAGAGTTTTCTTATTTTTTGTCTTTCACTAGAGAAAATGTTACTTCCTCCATGACGAGATATCTGATAAACCTGCCTGTGTGTTTTACTGTATTCTGGGGTTGGTTTCCCTTTACAAATATGCATAGTATGCAGATGTCCTTTTTCCATATAATATACCACATTAATCTTCATAGCTTGTGGGGTTAAAGTTACAAATGAAGCTCAAAATCAAGTAATTAGCACAAGGTCCAACATATAAAAAATAATAGAACTGGAACTTGAATTCTACTCTTCTGATTTTGAATCCCATGTTTACCTGAAGGTAACTGATTCCAGCCTGAATTTATTGGTGTTTCCAGCGTGGACCAACTGAAATTTTATCAAGAATAGTGTTTTGTTTTTTCAAATATTCAAACAAGGACTCAGAAAAAAGATAAATTATAGCCATACATAGGAGCATTTATCTTCAACCTGCCTATCAGTGCTTAGCAGAAAAGTAACTCCTTTTTTATCTTCTCTTTTAATATTTAAAATATATACATAAAAGACATTTTCCTTAAAAGGCAAAGCCCAATAAATAACATGCCAAATTCTTCTCTACACAGCAGTAAACAGGTTTTCACCTTTATGGACTTCTATATGCTGCTGGTTTGTCAGTTTGTTAAAATATAGGAAAAACTGCTAGTATCTGTTCTAATAAATGGCATAATTTAATAATTTATAAACCTTTTTCCCCCTAGGCACAAATTCATTCTTGCTTTGGGAAGATATAGGTTTTAAAGCTGAACTGATCCTCTGCAATTACAGATACACAACATTTAAAACAATGTTGAAATGCTAGGTGTTTTACTCCAGCTGGCATAAAAAATGTTGAGTCTTCAGCTAAACTAGATGCCGTTAATTAGTCTTAAGATTTCCTGTTATATTTGCTATAAAGCACCTCAACAGATGGATTCCAGAATAGGTCACAGCACTGTGAAAAGAAAAGAAAAATCATTTTCTCTCTTACTTCAGAGGCAGTAACAGATCTGAATTCATCTAACTTAAAAAATTGTTTACAAACTGTGAGTTCCATGTATGAAAGACAACATCTTAATTTGGCCTACCTTACCTCTCTTCCCCAGCCTCTTGTATTCTAAATCTAGTGGGCCACACTTTCTGATCTATTTCCATCATGATTCTAAAAATTTCACCATACCTACTATTTTGTTTTTTATTTGCCAAACTAAAAGTTTTTTTTTAATGGAGGAATAATTGACATATAACTATATTAGTTTCAGGTGTACAACATAATGATTTAATATTTGTAGATACTGCAAAAAGATTACAGTAAGTCTAGTTAATATCCATCACTGTACATAATTACAAAATTTTTTTCTTGTGATGCGTACTTTTAAGATCTACTCTCTTAAGGGTAGGAGGGAGGGAGGGAGGAAGGGAAATAAAAAGAAAAAAAGATACTCTTAGTAACTTTCAAATATGCAATATAGTAAGTAGTATTAGCTATAGTTCTATGCCATCCTGTATATTACATCCAGGACTTATATTACAACTGGAAGCTTATACCTTTTGACCCCTCTTCACCCACTTCTCCCTCCACCCATCCCCCACCTCTGGTAACCACTAATCTCTTCACTTTACCTATGAGCTTGGTTTTCTGTTGTTTAAATTCCACATATAAATGACATCATATGGTGTTTGTCTTTCTCTATTTCACTTAGTATAATGCCTTCAAGGTCCATCCACAAATGGGCAAACGGGCAAGATTTCATTCTTTTTTACAGCCAAATAGTATTCCATTGTGTATTTAACCACCTCTTCCTTATTCATCCATTGATGCACACTTAGGTTGCTTCTATATCCTGGCTATTGAAAAAATGTGGTTGGTGGACATGGGGATACATATATCTTTTCGAATATGTTTTCATTTTTACTGGATAAATATCGAGAAATGGAACAGCTGGATCAAATGGTGGTTTTATTTTTAATTTTTTGAGGAACCTCCATACTTTTTTCCATAATAGCAGTACCAATTTCCATTCCCACCAACAGGGCACAAGGGTTCCCTTTTCTGCACATCCTCTACAACACTTGTTTCTTGTCTTTTTGATAACAGCCATTCTAATAGGCATGAGGGGATATCTCATTGTGGATTTGATTTGCATTTCCCTGATGATTAATGATGTCCAGCATCTTTTCATGTATCTGTTGGCCATCTGTATGTCTTCTTTGGAAAAATGTCTATTCAGATCCTCTGCCCATTTTTTAATCGTATTATTATTTTTTTTTTGCTATTGAGTTGTATGAGTTCTTTGTGTATTTTGGGTATTAATCGCTTATCAGATATATGATTTGTAAATATTTTCTCCCATTTAGTAGGTAGCCTTTTCATTTTGTTGATGATTTCCTTTGCCATGTAGAAGCTTTTCAGTTTGATGTAGTCCTACTTATTTATTTTTGTTTTTGGAATCAGATCCAAAGAAATCATCACCAAGACCAATGTCAAGGAGCTTAACACCTATGTTTTCTTCTAGGAGTTTATGGTTTCAGGCATTACATTCAAGTCTTTAATCTATTTTGAATTAATTTTTGTGTATAGTATATAGTAGTTTACTTTCATTCTTTTGCATGTGGCTGTTTAGTTTTCCCAACACCATTTATTGAAGAGACTGTCCTTTCCCCATTGTATATTCCTGGTTCCTTTTTGTAAATTAACTGACCATTATGTGTAGGCTTATTTCTAGTCTCCTTATTCCGTTCTGTTGATCTTTGTGTCTGTTTTTATGCCAATACCATGCTGTTTTGATTACTACAGCTTTGTAATATACAGTAGTTTAAAGTCAGGGAGCATGATGCCTCCAGCTTTGTTTTTCTTTCTCACGACTGCTTTGACTATTCAGGGTCTTTTTGGTTCCATATAAATTTAGTATTGTTTGTCCTATTTCTGTGAAAAATACCACTGGAATATCTTTTATTTTGCTTTTTATTTCCCAGACTAAATGTTTGATCTTTTAGTTTGTACTTCTGATGACAACATGCAACCACCTTGACCTTTTTTCATGATTTTTAAAAAAGTACCATCACCATTATTATCTTTATTATTTATCTGTTGTACTTTCTCCATCATCCACATCCATTCATCCGTGTGTCCACATCGAAATGACCACATGGTTCCTCAGGATATATGGACTTTTATGGATACACTATGACTTTTATGGATATTAGGTATGGTGTATACCTGTATATAAAACAGTTGAACTCATTTTTCCTGCATTGCTAGTTCCCTTCTTGATAAAGTACAGCATTTTGGACTTTTTGACCAAACCCACCTGCTTGAGAATAGCCCATATGATTCCTGGGTTATAAATGGAGTTATACATATATAGTTTAAAAGAAGAGATACAAGTTAGATAGTCCACACACTAACTACGACACGAACTCATATGCAACATTTCTGTCAACTCATGATTTTCTCTGTTATTACAATTAGGTCTCATTTTCTTGGAATTTCAGTACACAGAAAACCACAGAAGCTATTATACTATGCCTACTTACATATTTCTTTCTTACAGTTTGTAACAATAGCGTGATCCCAGCATCAATATTTAGGAGCCTTTCACCATTCACCCTTCACTCAGCTGGGACAGAGTTCAGACATGAAGGCTAGCACTTAACTTTTGCCCACAGGCTTAAAGGCCAAACCTCTCTGGATTACATGTCTATTCATATTTCCACCTTTCTCCTATCAAGATCATATAGGAAGAGAAAGAAATAAAATCTGATTTATTTTACAATAATTATTCTGTGAATAGGCCAAACTCCATCTACAAGGATGAACTGGGATTTGGATATGATAGTAAAAGCAAGGATTATATATAACACTACTTTCAGAATTGGGTTTTGAAAACCCCAATAGAGTATAGCGTACCAATTTCCTGTATGTGGTCACTGTGGTATAGTGAACACTGACGTTCTTGAAAGTCAGCAGGCGCCTGTGTCTCAATTCTTAGATGTAAGTGCTGTGTGGCTTCTATAGTACCTGGGTCACCTATGGTGAGTAGTACAGGGGCAGCAGTCACTCCAGGGTTATAGAGCAGAGAATGCTGGCATATCTAAAAAAGGGAATTTCTGCCATGGCTGGTGTGGCTCAGTTGGTTGGAGTCATCCCGTATACCAAAAGGTGGCAGGTTGAATTCCATGTCAGGGCACATACCCAGGTTGCAGGTTTCATCCCTGGTGGGTGCACATGTGGGAGGCAACTGATCCATGTTTCTCTCTCTCTCTAAAATCAATTTAAAAAAAAAGAAAAAAGAAAAAAAAAGAAGGGACTTCCTCTAAAAAAGTACTAGGGAATCTGATATTCTGGGTAGTTGGCCTGACCCCTGCCATTTACTGACTGACCTTTGGCAAGGAAGGAAACTAACATTTATTATACTGTGTGTACTAGATTACAATACATTTTATTTAATCCTTCTAACAATCACATTTTTACTAGTGAGAAAAGACTCAGAAAATGAAATAAATTGCTTTAAAATCTATAGCTAAGAAGTAGAGGAATCATGCAAAACCATGGCCTTACACTAAGGCTTATACTCTTTCTATTATAGCCAATACCTCTCTGAACTCACTTCACTTGTCTGACTTGTAACCATGAAATAGGAATGCTTACTATTTCACAGATCAATTAAGGGCTTTGAATGATCTAGTAACATAACCTTCCCCAAGACGATCAGTTTTCAGATAGTTCTATTAGTTCTTAATGTCGAGCCACAATCTTACTTGATTAGGCTGGTGACACAGAGCTCATAGCAGTGTGAGACTACTGCTTGATCATTCCTTTGTTTTCAACACAATAATTCTATTAATGTAGCTCAAGAAAACATGGTCAGTTTTTCTGCAGCCCCATTATACGTTAATTCAAACTCAGCTTCCAGTCAATTACATTTTTTTCCAATATATGCTGCTATTAAGCATAATTTGCCCATCTTATGTTTGTGTTGCCTTTTTAGCTGAAGTATCACTTCCTTATTATTAAATAGTTAAAAAACACACACAGTTATCTTTCTATTACAATGCTCAGGGCTCTAAGAAGAATTAGGATTTCAGTCCTGTCCCTAGGAGTTTCACTGTATATATGGAACACAGACAAGTGAACAGGATAAATACTCAAAGGTAAGTAAAGGGAGAAGAGAATTTTGTAGGAATGAATGAAGAGGAATTTTGTCAGGCATGTTCATAATTACAAACAATTTACATGTGATTTGCACTGGTAGGACGTAGAATGACTGCTTAGAGGACAGTTTCATATATAACTGCTACTTGGTTTCATTATTTTCTTATAACAACTCCCATAGTGTCTTTCACAAAGAAATTAGAGTAAGAAAATCACAGAGGAGTGTTACTCTATCTCTGCAACAATACAGGTTACTTACTGTGTCCACAGTATACACTGAAAGTACAAACTCATGTTTCATTGCTAAACCACACCTAGTATCTCAAAAATTGCCAGCTCATGAAATAAACATTCCGTCTGCTACCATTACTTAATTTTAATTTATATGAAGAATTTCTTCTTTACATATGGTCCTTTTAAAGGAATATTTTTTATCTCTCATAGCCTGATTGAGTTTTCTTCCATATAGTTAAGTTGTTTTTCTTTGGAACTGAGAAAGGGATAGTAGTATCTTTATTGTGGTGGTTGTTTAGCTGATTCTAAAAAGTAAAAAGTTTTCACTTCTGCTGTGGTATAGGGTTGAGCCAGGCTGAGGAAGAAAGAGAATGAAAAAACCTACAAGGAAGATACAGCAAAATTTGCAGAAGGAAGAAAGAATAGAGGGAAGAAAAAATTAAAAGTACTTTTGGATTGTACTAATAAATCATGGCTAAGTGCATAGTCTTCCAAACTTCACTAATTTTAAATGATATGACAGTTTAAGACACACTGATTTGCACTTGATCTTAGCCAAAAGGCCGAGATATAAGAAACACTGACGTAACACAGTGTAACAAAGTTGTTAGTATATAAAGCTGCGAAAACAATTCAACTCTTACCTTACAGGAAACAACTGAGGAAAACATCCTTGGGTTTTAGTGTCAACAAACTTCTGGATCTGAAGCACTTGTTTTAAAAGATGACCCTTGGAAGGCTTGTCAATTTTTGTTAATACCATCTGCAAGAACACAAATATTTAAGCATTAGAAATAAAGTATTTTAAAATATACAGTTTGACACATTTTAGCTATAAATTTTCAATAACTAGGTTACCTGTGCAAGTTTCTTAATCTCTTGGTACTTGTTTTCTCTTCTATAAAATAAAAGCAATGTACACTAAAGGAGTTACTGTGAAGATTAAACGAGTTAATGTATACAATGTATAAAGCATACACTCTGTGTCTGCTGTTTAATGGTGCTTTAACTACAAAGGACTATACTGCCTTGAATTTAAAACCAGTGGAAAGGACCCTGGAGCCATATTTGCTACTCCCATAAACCAAAGGTTTCATATGATCACTATATATCTGTGGTCAAAGACATTTAAGTGAGTATAGTATTATTAGGTTGATTCATATAAAACTGCCAACTTATAATGATTTTTGACCTACAAAATGGTTCCATCTTACATGAAATAATTTAAATGAAAAATTAGAAATCAGGCTATTTGTAGGTTGTATCCACTATTCCAAGTTATATATAGTTATATTCCAAGTAAGCCTAGAATTTACTAGGCTTACTAGTAAATAATTACACTGAATAATTTACTTATTCAAAGACGATTACATATTAGAGGGAAGGCCAAGGCATGGCTGATAGTAAAATCAATTAAAAAGTAAAACCTTGATCTATCAGATTTTCCTGGGGAATTTCTATAAAATTAAATTTCCTGACTCACCATTTACACTTTTCAGTTATAAAAAATATAAATGGCAGAGGGAGTAAGAAGCAAAAAGTGTGTGGTTTCTAATGACCTGTGAATCCCACCAAATGGGAGTCTTTCCTCATAAAGGCAAATGCTGATATTTAAAAGGAAATATAATTCCTCTATTACAAACTCTTTTCAAAAAAGAAAGTAACATTTCTTTAAAGTTAAAACTGAAGAAAATATATGATTTCATAAACTGGTACCTAAGATACCAAATCAGGAATATTATCACTTAAAAAAAAACCCCAAACCAGTTTGGTATTATTTAGGCATTTTTACTGTGTAGACTACGTTTATCATTCCTTCTGCTCCTCATAACTGTAGGTTATCACTAATATTCCACAGGGCTTTGCAAACCCCAAGAACTCCGTAACTACAACAATACAAAAAAGTTTCTGACTTGTAACATGATTTGATTTGCATTAAACTCCACTGTTACATTTTAGTGGTTTTCTGGCTTTTTTTAAAAACCAAATTATAGTCAATGGGTTCTTTACTTCTCCTTAGAAAGGAACTTTAAGAGTGCTATTTTATTCGGAAAACTCACAAAGCAAAATAAATGTGGATACCAACCTACTAATCTGTATTATATTCTAAAGCAAACAACAAAAACAACACTGGTAAGATATTCCTAGAAGAAATTTTGTTTTCTTTAAGAATACAGTATAAAAATCCTACTTGTATGTGCTGGAGCCTGCCACGTTCTTGTAGTGGTTCTTAAATTCCAAATTAGCTTAGTAAATTTTCAGTTGCAGTTTTATTTACATACTGATAAGTACTATCTGCCAAACTACTATTAAAGAGCTACTAACTTGTTTTAGACAAATGTTCACATTGCCATTAAAAAAGCCCATCACAATAAAAAGCAGCTAGGAGCACTAAATAAACAGCTTTAAAAAACTTTACTTTGACCATAATTGTGAAAAATTAAAGCTGAGAAAAGGAAAAGAGAATAAAAATAGCACAGAACTTATTTTATTAATGGCTAACAATCGAAAAGATAACTCAAAAGGTACTCCCTTATCGCATGAAGAGGCAAGACCTACTTATTCATTAAAGGACACACACACACAGAACTGGTATCTCTAACTGCAACCATGATTCAAAAGAAATACTTACCACATAAGGTAATGCAAACTCTTCACACATTTCTATGGCAATATTGTCTGCTTTTTGAATTCCGACAACACTATCCACTAACAAAAATGTTCTCATCAAACTATAAGAATGTAGAAATAAAGATTAATGACAATATAAAATACACCCCCCCACCCTCACTATGCTAATAAATTTTCCTTTGACTAATTTTCAATCCAAAATTTAAAAATTTCTTTAGGCAAAAGGAATTCTCAGTTTACCAGAAAGTCCATCCTACAGTCCAAGAGTTAACTAAATTCACTAAATATTAATTTATTTCAGTAGCATGTACTGAACATGACTCTAGACTTAGAACTGGATACAAAGGTGAATGAGCCCCTTCCTCTAACAGTCTGAACTCTAGTGAAAGAAAGAGACATGAACCCAATTAACTATGTTATCATAAAAATGTCTAAATTTTGAAATATTATTTTAAGACTAACAGATAACACAAAACAGACACATTTTATTTTGTATTTTCTTGTGTAAGTATCTCATGTTAGTTTCTATGTAAAGCTACAACAAGCAAGATACTTGTTAACACATTTTTATACTTCAAAAGTTAAACATAAATTTTCCTATATATGTGCAAAGCTTGTAACATACAACTGCCACTTGCCTCCTCAGGGAGATCAAAAAAGGTAACATTTACAGAGGATTTGACTTCAGAAATACTTTAAGAATGATTAGAATTTACAGAAGTTTATTTATAAATGCCACATTAACCAACAATGTTCATTTTCAAAATTAGCCATCTAAGAGTTTGGTAAAAAAATTAGTAAACTCTGCTAAAGTATTACTTGTAGTCTCAATTTAGAAAAACACTTAAATTTAAGATTAAGCTAACCTACAGGAAAGAAACAAAGCAAGCAGTAACTACCAAGGTCCTAAATATTGTGCTACAGAATATTACAGGAATAAAATGGACTTTCTAAAAGAAGTTTGATAAAACTACAGTGGTTATCATGTGTAGAATGCTCTATTAATGAAAATATGCTTTGGGGTTCAATGTATAACTATTATAAAAAATGTTTTTCCTTACTTCTTTCGTTCTTTTAGATAGGTCTCTACCATATCAACAAAATCTTCAGGTGCTCTATAGCCATAACCTGGCATGTCCACCAATGTAAAATATTTTCCAACTTTGAAAAAATTCATTTTCTTTGTGTGTCCCTGATAAAAGTAAATGGAAAAAATGAAAACTTTCTTAAAATATCCACCATTATATATTTCATCTCAAAATGTTTTCTATTCAATCATATTTATTAACATGTATAAGTATTCTGTATATAACCCCAGCTATGCTGATAATTATACAGGAAAAGATAGAAGTGACTGGAGATAAACTTAGATGATACTACTTTTCTCCAATTCATAATTTTAAGAGAATATGTATGACTTAAGAAGAATTTTAGATTCCATATTAGAAATATGTAGACAAAACTTTTTGGAGTCTTTCCTATTTCATTAGCTCTCTCTCAGTTAAAAAGTTAACCTGGTGTGACTACTAGTCAATATTCTCTGATGAGTAATATTTCTCTAAGGAGAAATGAATTATGTTACAGTAAGTTAAATTACACACTTACTTACTGTTAGTCATACAGTCATAAAACCTAGATGCAAAGCCTGATAGTTTATTATGCCTAGATTACTGCTTCCCTAAAATCAACATGTTTTGCATGTTTCATTAGATGGGTTTTAGTGCCTTCATTAAACCATTTTTTAAAAAGCATGTACAACACTACAAAATACCTGTGCAACTAAAATTCATGTACAGATGATAAGTGGTTTATGATAAGTGGTTCATAATTTTCTGTCACTATGGACATTTATTAATCCAAAAAGGAAAGATTAAGATAAATAATTTAAAAAGTCAATTGTTTGGAACTTAGAACAAATATTTTCACAGGAAAGGTGTTATAACTGGTACTTAGCTTCCTAGTCCACTGTCTGTCTATAGGAAAATGATTTTAGAATTACAGATGAGGAATGTCAGAAATACATTTCTTGCATTGTCCTCTCATAGCAGGAAGGGAAGCACCCTACCTAGAAGTGAGAATTTACCTGGGTTATTTGGTGAGGTAGGGCAGGAGGATTAATGAATGACAACAATCATCAGTGATAGAGCCAGGGAATCAACTTCATGAAGAATTGGGGAGCAAGAGAGGACTAGTGAAGCCTCCTGGAACAGTTCCAATGCAAGGAAAGGGGGCAGTTAGCATTGGGTTGGTGGGAATGTTTTGCTATGGATAGATAATAAGGTGAGGGGAACTGGGGGTAAGTACTGAAGAGAAGGTATCTTAGATATTGGTAGAGTCTGCATCATTGAGAAGGAAGTAGAGGAAATTAGAAAATGACAGAAAGTTACTACAGCACACTGGCTGGGATAATAAGCACATGATTCAGCCCAGGGTAGACTGGGTATATGTATGAGTTAGCAAGGTATAAAAGATTATAGGAGGAAAAAAGACACTTTACAACTGTTTCCTCTGAAATCAATGTAGAACTAAAATGATCATTCTCGGAAGCAAATATAGAATAACAGTAGAAATACTCTTTGGAAAAGACTTAGACCAAGGAAGATTTCCTCAAGATACTACTAAAATAAATCCAGCCCAGCCGGGCATGGCTCAGCGGTTGAGCATCAACCTAGGATCCAGGCGATTGGGGTTCGATTCCCGGTCAGGGCAAATGCCCGGGTTGCGGGCTCAATCAATGACTCTCTCATCATTGTTTCTCTCTCTCTCTCTCCTTTCCTCTCTCTGAAATCAATAAAGATATATTTAAAAATAAAATAAAATAAAATAAATCCAGAGGTATGTCCTTTTCTTCAAAGAAATACACAGGCATTGATGAAATCTCTTACTTTACTACTTGTTTGAAAGAAATCACTTTTCTAGGAAGTTGGCAATTTATGATTTCTTGTACCTCCTAATATTTATTATTCATCTTAGTCAACTCAGAGACAGTTCAGACAGATTTTAAATTTCAACTTACCGGGGTTTTAGAGACTCTGACTTCAACCTCTGGAGCCAATGAAAACAAAGCCTTTATTAGAGAGGATTTCCCAACATTGCTTCTGCCTATAAAACATACCTTGTACAAGAAATAAAAAAATGAAAAAATGAAGGGGAGCTGGGTGAAAAAGGTGAAGGGATTAAGCAAAAAAAATACACTCACAGACACAGACAACAGTGTGGTGATTACCAGAGGGAAAAGGGGGGTGGGGGGAGTTAGAAGAGGGTAAACGGGGATAAATGGTGACGGCAGGAGACTTGACTTTGGGTGGTGAACACACAATACAACATACAGATAATGTATTATAGAATTGTACACCTGAAAACTATATAATTTTATTAACCAATGTCGCCCCAATAAATTCAATAAAATTTTCTTTTTTAAAAAAGAAAAAAGAAGATAGAGTACTAGTTTAATATATATATACTTATTATATATAATGTATTAGCGGCAAAAACCTGTCAAACTATTCAGTCTTGCCTACCCAAAAAAAGTGGCTTATGCTTAGTCAAATCTCAAATTTTAACATACAGCTTCTATCTACTCAATCATTTCAATGTTCCAGGTGCTATTCTAAGCATTTAACATATTTTTCTTATTTACATTTTATAATATCCCTATGAGATAGGTAATATTATTATCCTCCTTTTAGGTGATCAAACGAGGCAGAAATAAGTTAAATAACTGGCTCAAAATTATACAGCTAGAAAGTGAAGGAGTTGAAATTTGAACTCAAGACATCTATATCCAGAACCTGTGCTTTTAATTACACTATGCTATTCAAGAATATCTGCAACATTTATTAAGCATTCTATATTTACAAAGCTTTTTGAAGTCAGAACAGCATTTCCCCACAAACTTCCAGAGTACACTGTAATTTAGAGGTTATTCCTGTCTTTTGAGCTCTCTTTATCCAGCTAAGCTTTTCACCTTTAGTCCTCTATAGTTATTTCAGGGCACACATAAAGTAATTACTAAAATTCTGTGGCACACCAAAAAATACATTATATTTTTTGCTGATCTGACCCAAAAAAAGGTGTATATATATTTTTAAAATATGTCTTTATTGATTTCAGAGAGAGGAAGGGAGAGGGAGAGGAAGAGACAGAAACATCAATGATAAATCATTGATTGGCTGCCTCCTGCACACCCCCTACTGGGGACTGAGCCCATAACCCTGGCATGTGCCCTGACCAGGAACAGAACCAAGATCTCCTGGATCGTAGGTCAATGCTCAACAGCTGAGCCACGCTGGCTGGTTGGTATAATTTTGATCATTCACAGTATGGTTATTGTTGTGTTAGTGGTTGTCATTTTTTTATTTGAGAATCTTGCAGCATACCCACACTGGTCGATGCTCTAGTGTAGAAAGCAACAAAATGTTCCTGATCGTTACTNACCCACACTGGTCGATGCTCTAGTGTAGAAAGCAACAAAATGTTCCTGATTGTTACTATTAATATACATGACTCTTGCTTTTTAACATGGTATTGAAGAGTCNGGTCGATGCTCTAGTGTAGAAAGCAACAAAATGTTCCTGATCGTTACTATTAATATACATGACTCTTGCTTTTTAACATGGTACAATACAAATCAGTGGTTCTAAGTGAAGGCAGTAGGGGTGTGTTTTGGAAATGTGTAAGGAAATTTCTGGTTATCAATATGATCAGGTGGCATTTAGTAGGCAGGGGTCAGGGATGCTATGTATTATGCAAAACTGGGGCCAGTTCTTCAAAATGAATTGATCTGAATCCTGCTTACATTTCAAAATGCTCTGCCAGATTAAATACAATGATGATCTATAGATAATAAAACTAAATTTTAAAAAACAAATTACACAAAAAGTCCAGTAATTTAAAAGATTAAATCGAAAAGCAATGCTATCTCAAAATCATTAAATGACATATGTGCTCTTAAATTATAGCAGCTGTAAATATAGTAGAAGAAAATTTTCAGTGCAGTGATGCAGCTACTACAAATACAGCAGGTCCCTGATAACATCCTTTTGTTCAAAGTCATTTTGTTATAAAGTTGATGAGAAAAAAACAAATTCAATTCATGGCCAGGGCCACTATCTGTGTGGAGTTTGCATGTTCTCCCCATGTTTGTGTGGCTTTTCTCTGGGTACTTCCACATCCCAAAGATGTGCACATTAGGTGAACCTGGAAGTCTAAATTGTACCACTCTGAGTGTGGGTGTGTGTGAGGGAGCCCTGCATGGCATTCTGTCCAGGGCTGGTTCCTGCCTTGTGCCGTTGTTACTGGGGAGATGATGAGGGAACCTCGGTTCTTGTCTTCTTGAGGAAAAGATTTCAATCAAGAAATTCTTGCTTTTTTTTTGTAGAAAAGAAAGCAAGAATTTATTGGCTGCAGCAAAAATATACTTAGGACGGTGAAACAAAGAAGGTACATAGAAGTAACAGGAAAGCCTAGGTTGGGCTGTGTTGGCTCACTTTGAAGTCAGAGAAAAGGGAGCCTTGGAGACAGGTTCAGGCGGTCAGCCTGGGAAGAGCTGCCACTGTCCATTTCTCCCTGGGTCGAAAGTCTCTTTGGGTCCCTTAGATGGAAGAAGAGAGGAGACGGCACTGGCATGGTCCGGCGGGGCGGGAGCTAGGACATTCATTTCTAGGGGTTTTAAAGGATAGGCATTTAGGGGAGAATCAATAGAATATTCTTCAAGCTTTATACTGATGTACCAGAATGAGGTTTATTCTCTTAATTTGTCTGTTTTAATGTGTGGCTTGAAAATGGCACTAATTGGATTTCTGTTATCTGTCTCCAACAACAGGACAGTTTAAGCTATTTACCCTCTGGCTGGGGAGGAGAGGTGCAAACCATTTACCCTTAAGTGTCCTTGGTTTAGGGAAGATAGGATTTACTAGGTGGCTGCGAACTGCTGTTTAACTATGCTTCCCTATTCCACTTGTCCTGGAATTTCCCCAGCTTCTACTATACATAACACCCTAAGCTGCCAGGAGAGGCCCTGGCCGTTACCCTCAACTACAATGAACAGGTTAGAAAATAATTACCTTACTTGTTTTTATTAATCATTCTTAAACGTATGTATAGTTTACATTTACTTCAATGTTTAATAGTAGAAATGTTTTGGGCCTTTAGATGTTATGTGATGTTTTTGGGACCAGAAATATGCCATAAGAACTTAACTCTTGTTTGTATCAATTAGCCTTTGGTAAAGCTGATTTCATTATACGTTATATCGCCTCAAGTCTCAGGTTCCAAGAAACTATTACTATGTAAGTGAGGGCTTGCTGTACGTAAAGTGATCTGAGTGGGTTTTGTGTGTGTTTTTTACCAAACCTAGAACAAAGTATTATTAAACTAAAGTACGTGCATAAAATGTACAATCATGGGATGTCACTGAAGTCGTTTTAAAAAATCTACATTATTGCCATCTATGCATCTCTTTTTTTCCACAGGATAGGAAATTTAGATGGGGTGAAAATTACATATTGATAAGGGCCACATCATTTGTGAAAATTATACTTTTCATATTCTTCACTTTGTTTTCCCTGCTTCAGTTAGGGAAACACTAAAAGGACACGTTTTTGAACACTTAGCTTCTTAGAGTCTTCTACACTCATTACCAAAATAATTAAAACTAGCTTTTCTTACTTACTTAAATAGCGATATGCTTCCACACAGAAAGTCTCTCTGGTTTTGTGACAAAAGGTGACAGAGAAACTCCTTCTCAGCTCTCACCTCGGGGCGGAGGAGGTCCGGGGCGTGGTCCAGACGCACCGCAGAACTGCGGTACTCGATGCGGTTTCGGGCGGTGGCCGTGAAGAAGCTCTCGGCTCTCGCGACATCCTCCAGGCTCGGGTCGAAGATCCGCAGCTGAAGAAGGTCCGGCTCGGAGTCCGGGAGGAGATACCGCTGGAGTTCCTGCAGTGGGAACACGAGCTTCGTCAGTTGCGGTTTTGGCAGCTGTAGAACCTCAGAGAAGGCGTGGGGCTTGCTGTAAGCTCGGCTCAAGCGCCCCAGCGCTGCGGGCATCTCCAACAGCCTGCCCAAGCCTGGCAGCAGCATGGGCGCAGCCATGTTTCTCTCCCAGAAGCCCCGCAGCGGGACCTCATTCCCCCAGGGTCGGGCTGCGCGTGCTAAGCCTGCTGGGAATTGTAGTCTCGTTAGGTCTCGCCTTCCCTCCCTAGCCCGACGGTCTTTGCCTGCAGTGGGCCGGGGACAGGCCTTGCTGGGGGGGGACACCCACTAGGTGCCTTCCACACTCTGGCCTTGATGACGGTATCTTTGACTTGTATGTCGCTGTGGGGAGGCTGTTGACCGATTTCCAGTAGTCAAGAGACACACCTCGCTGTGTGGCCCTTCCGTCTCAAGGGAAGGAAAACGTGTGAAGCTGTGGTGGGGTTCAGGCCCCTTTATTCTTCACAGTTTCTGGTTGTCTCCCGTATCTTTGACCTTGACATACACATCACTAGGGCTGGTGAGAAATGTGGTTGAAACTGGCATCTGGTTTACAGGGAAGGGACAGTTTCTAGTTCCAAGGCTTCTGTATAGCCGCAGGCAATGTCATTCATTTTTAGAGATTTCTTACAGAATAAAAGCAAAAACAGTTTTGCACAGGTGTTTCAGAGTTGTTTCGTGGAAGGTACATAAAGACATCTTATTTCAAAAGTTTATTCTCAAAGCAATTCAAATTCATCAGCGCGGGAATGGGAGAAAAGGTATCAGGAAATGAATAGCTGAAAGATACTCACTTAAAAGACTAGGCTTTCAGCCCGGCCGGGCGTGGCTCAGCGGTTGAGCCTGGACTTAGGACCCAGGCGATCAGGGTTCGATCCCCGGCCAGGGCACATGCCCGGGTTGCGGGCTGCAGCCGATCAATGACTCTCTCTCATCATTGATGTTTCTATTCTCTCTCTCCCTCTCCTTTCCTCTCTCTGAAAACAATAAAGATATATTAAAAAAAAAAGACTAGGTTTTCAGAAATGTCTGCACCAAACAGCAGAGCAATCTTAAGGCACAGCCTCAGGTTCAGTAAGGAATCAGGGCAATTCTTGAATGAATGTCACACAAAAGGTTAGTGAACAAGACCAATGACTTAGACAGTAGCCTGTCCTGCTGTTGGCCGCCTTATTTTTCATCTTTGCATCAGACTTTGAGGCTTTCCTCCCTCCCCTACTCTCCCCCATGATAAAACACTTTATTGTAAACATCCAGATATTTTGGATACATATATCATTGTATGTATTTTAACTCAAAATACTGTTCTACAGCCCCCCCCCCCC